CCTGAGAGACAGAAGGTAGGCTTGTCTATGGGATTCCAGACAACACTAGTTATCATGGGTCTGAAGTCTCATGCTGGTATACTACACAGTAATTTGAACAGTGTATTATCAAAGTTGAAAAAAATCACCTCTACCATAAAATGAAGGGTGATGAAGGGTGAGATACAGATGGAAAAATGTAAGGAGGTGGGAGAGGGGGAGAGAGGATGAGATAGGGAGAAAGAGAGAGGAAGAGGGGGAAGGGAGAGACGATGAGATAGAGAGAAAGAGAGAGGAAGAGGGGGAAGGGAGAGAGGATGAGATAGGGAGAAAGAGAGAGGAAGATGGAGAAGAAAGGGAAGGAAAGAGAGGAAGAGGAGAGGGAGAGAGGAAAGAGAGGATGGAGGAGAGAAAGAAGGACGAGACGAGGATGAGAGAATTAGAAAGACTGAGGGAGAGAGAAAGAAGAGAGATAGAAGAGAAGGAGGGAGAGGGAGAGGGAGAGGGAGAGGGAGAGGGAGAGGGGGAGGGGGAGGGAGGGAGAGAGAGAGAGAGAGAGAGAGAGAGAGGAGAGAGAGAGAGAGAGAGAGAGAGAGAGAGAGAGAGAGAGAGAGAGAGAGAGAGAGAGAGAGAGAGAGAGAGAGAGAGAGAGAGAGAGAGAGAGAGAGAGAGAGACGAGAGGAGAGAGAGAGAGAGAGAGAGAGAGAGAGAGAGAGAGAGAGAGAGAGAGAGAGAGAGGAGGAGGGAGGGAGGAGGGAGGGAGGAGGGAGGGAGGAGGGAGGGAGCAGGGAGGGAGAGGGAGCAAGGGAGGGAGGGAGAGAGGAGGGAGAGAGGGAGGGAGAGAAGGAGAGAGGGAGGGAAGAAGGAGAAGGAGGGAGAGAAGGAGAGGGAAGAGAGGGAGGGAGGGAGGGAGAGGGAGAGGGAGAGGGAGAGGGAGGGGGAGAGGGAGAGGGAGAGGGGAGAGAGGAGAGGGAGAGAGAGAGAGGAGGAGAGAGAGAGAGAAGAGAGAGAGAGAGAGAGAGAGAGAGAGAGAGAGAGAGAGAGAGAGAGAGAGAGAGAGAGAGAGAGAGAGAGAGAGAGAGGAGAGGGAGAGGGAGAGGAGAGGGAGAGGGAGAGGGAGAGGGAGAGGGAGAGAGGGAGAGAGGGGGAGAGGGGAGAGGGGGAGGGGGAGAGGAGAGAGAGAGAGAGAGAGAGAGAGAGAGAGAGAGAGAGAGAGAGAGAGAGAGAGAAGAGAGAGAGAGAGAGAGAGAGAGAGAGAGAGAGAGGGAGAGGGAGAGGGAGAGGGGAGAGGAGAGAGGGAGAGGGAGAGGGAGAGGGAGAGAGGGAGGAGGGAGAGAGGGAGGGGGGAGAGAGGGGGAGAGAGGGGGAGAGAGGGAGAGGAGAGGGGGAGGGAAAGAGAGGGAGAGAGGGAGAGAGGGGGGGAGAGGAGAGAGAGAGAGAGAGAGAGAGAGAGAGAGAGAGAGAGAGAGAGAGAGAGAGAGAGAGAGAGAGAGAGAGAGAGAGAGAGAGAGAGAGAGAGAGAGAGAGAGAGAGAGAGAGAGAGAGAGAGAAGAGAGAAGAGGGAGGAGAGAGAGAGAGGGAGGGAGAGAGGGAGGGAGGGAGAGAGGGAGAGAGGGAGAGGGAGAGAGGAGAGAGGGAGAGAGGGAGAGGAAGAGGAAGAGGAAGAGGAAGAGGAAGAGGGAGAGAGAGAAAGAGTATATCTGTACATTTATATTGATATTCTGATATGTTAGTTGATTTTCAACCATTTGAAACATATTACTTGATTTCATACCCTCCACCCAAAACCTAAGATTTCCTACAGATTTCCTGACAATGAATGATTTATGAATTTTGGCGCAGTGCTCCATAGAATTCCAAATATGGTGGGTATGTCTGTATAGTGTCATTGGCTAATTTTAAGCATTTTTTGTGCTGATTATTTTATTATTATTATTTTTTTAATCTTCTTATTTAAACCTGTTATACCCTGTAACTTCCCTGTTATACTTCATGCCCTCCCCTGCTCTCAGGACTATCAAATCAGGATCGTAGATTGAGAAATGGTACTCGATTTCCTCAACAATTCATTTGCAGAAGTAACGTCAAGAATCGATAAAATCATTGGATTTCCTGCAGATTTTTTTTTTTTTTTTTTAACTTAGTCTCTGGGAGGGTACATCGCTCTCTTTAACTTTTACCACAATATTAATCCTTGGAATAGAAATTCATGGCCT